GCACCACAATGGATTGAATGGACATTGGTGGCTGTAAGTGAAAATACATTTTTATAATACGTACTCAAAATCTGAACTAACAGTTAAATCTTCCACGGATGTTAATATTTCTCAAGTTCACTTATAGCCCATCAGCCTGCCTGTGTTATGTTTAATGCTCTATGTCTGGATTAAAAAAAGCTTCTCTGAGAGTGTCCTGACTACAACTCATGCTGGCAATATTTCAAGTAGACTTACATGTCTCAAAACTGTATTTTGCAGACCGAGCCTTGCCAGCCGTATGTGCTAAAACAGAAATAAAAATCCCCAGCACAATTAGCCCTTCAGACTTCCCTTGAGAACAACAACAAAAAACATCTTTTGAACATCTTCTGATTATTGAAAGATAGCTAGAAAATGTCACACATTTTAACCTTTGGTTTATTAATATTGGAACTGAAAGGTCAAGTCAGAAATAAATTCAATATGCTACCACTTACATTTACCAAGTAATTTAGAAACAACTTGGTCACCTTTAAGTGTAGACAATCCAAAGTCCTTTTGTTTTTACTTCAGTGAACATCATAATATTCAAATAAAAATAACTCCCAAACTTGATGAATGGGTAAAGAAATTTAAGCTGGAAAGGCTATTACTACTTACCTGAGTTAATAAAACAATTCTAAGAAGAATAAAGGAAAAGGCAGCTTTGATCGAAATGGAAATTCAGAAAGACTGCAACGGAAATACAGCGTGACTTCTATTCACAATGTTCCCGCCATGGCATGTGCCTACTTACATATTTGAAGCAACAGTCTGGCATGTAAAATATTGACTGCAAGTCCATTTTGATTTTGTATCTAACATTCAGCAGAGAGCAAGCAAGCATGGGAAGGGACAAAATTTAAAAAATCTGTATTTATTAACCTCAAAGTCTTCAAGAGAATAAACAACTCAAAAACATGATTTAAAGATGTCTATGCTGTACTATTCTGTATAGTGAATGCGAACAGGTTTTTGTACTGAGATTCTGAGACTTACAACTGTACCATAATTACATATCTATGTAATTATACTTTCACTCATTCTAAATGCTACAATATCTTTGATTGATTGATTTTTTCCAGTTTCGCTAGAATAGACCTTAGAACCATATGGCTTGCTTTACCTTTGAGACTTTGGCACTAATCGGTTTTTAAAGAGTTAGCAGACTTGGAGAAAGAAGGGGGCTTTATAGTGGTGTTGAGATCTTACACGAAATATCTGTTCTCCCCTACACATTTTACCCTCAACTTTCTCTGCAATGAAGCACAGCATAAGCTTTTAACTAAAAGTCCATTCTCTTTGCTGTAAAAATCTGCAGCCAGGTATGATGTGGTTCTACTTTTATCAACGGAACTTCTAACACAGGTAGGAACATACCAAATACCATCTGTAACTTAAATTAAGCCTCTAACATAATCTCCATTTACTTTTCAAGCTGGCATTCTTTGCAAAAGATCCAACACGTTTTAGGCCACCTTTAATAAACTTCAAATGCTACTGAGTTTATCTAGATTTATTAGCAATGCACAAGAAAAAACATAATTAGTTGTAACGATAGATATGTAAATACATGATGTTCTGGATTTGGTCTTTTTCACAGGAACATAAAAAAATAGTTTGTTGCCTTTGGTAAAATATGACAGAGTACAGGACCAATATTACTTTCACATACATACAATTTCTGCTGGGTCAGTGCTTAGATTTAAAAATCAGATCTTTGAACAAACACTCATCAGTCTAGGCCTTTATAGGCAATAAATGTAAATACATAATGGCACAATGTAACAAACTGTTTATGATACTGGGGACAAATTATCCCAACACCTTTTAGCAGTTCCTTTCACCTTCAGTTCTGATTTATTGCTATTCATCCTTTCTAAGTACTTAAAGTTTTGGAAGAAAAGTCTGGAATTTTCTTTTTATCTGATTTTGTTTGGAAAACATACTGTCATTCTTAGTAAAATCAATCAATGGAATCTAATAAGATTTTATTTCAAGAAAAGTAATAAAAAAGAACAGGATCAGGCTAACTGAATCAGCAGGGAGTTGACAAGTGGGCACTTCGGAGAGAAAAATGGGAAGAGTATCCAAATATATTGAATGCAATCTTACATGCATTGTGAATCAGAGAGTACAATTTCTGCTCTGTAATAAAAAATTGAATTTTAAGGTTCAACTTAATAAAGCCCCAAATTTTATTGGTACTACTAAGTTTCACGTGGCTTTAACTTGAAAGATGAGAAAAATAGTTTAGTTTTGTTGTTTTTTTTTTTTAAAAAAAAAAGGAACCACACATGCTCTTGAATGATTTTGCATTTTAGGGGTTAGCATAGCTCTGGTTCTGAAGGCTGGAAACAGCCTTTAGGTAAGAGCCATATTAATCAAGTCCATGACATACATTTTAGATTTTTACTCAATCAGTGGGGTTTTTGCCACCATGTCCCTTCTGCCATGTTTTGTGCTGCATACCTTTGCTTCACCTATGAAAACAGTTTGTGAATTAAAACTAAATTAAGAACAGCTGAATTCAATTAGCTCTTTAAACCTAAAAATGGAAATGAAGAAAAATTTCCATGTTGTTTCTGGTACTTATGAGTACATGTCAAAACACAAGGAGAAGACAAATTAATCAATCAAGCTAATACAAAACAAACTTTCATTCACTCCAAGGA